TGTTCTTGCAAGAACCCATGCTTCCACGCCAGCATGGCAGCCCCGAGAGCAGCTGTCAGCACGGCAGGGCTACAAAGTCAGACACAATTCAACAGCTCTGGCCTTAGCTTTGCCCAGATTTTGTATTCACACAGATTTTGTTCTCATCTGTTCAGCATCCTGCTCATGGTCCCATGGAGAAAAGCCCTGGGGGCAACCAGCACCATGAGCTGTGCCAGCAGCAGCAGGAGGGGACAGGGGCGGGTCCCCAGAAGCCCTCACCTTGGGGTTTCTCCACTTATACTTTCCCCACTACAGAATTTCGGGTACAGCCCTCACATGGATTTGTCCATGAGCCAGCCACTCACAAGGAGAAGGTCTCTGGGAAAAGGCACCAGCAGCTTCGGCTGCTCCCTGCAAGGAACAAAAGACCAACACTTGCTTTGGCCAGTTTGTCCAGGGAAGACCAGGTCCCTTGAAGCTGGCTCTGAGGAGGCAGGATGATCCCTGCAGACTGCCACAGGATGTTTAAACCCCACGCGAGCTGCCAGCCCAGCCCATGGCGTGGTGGTGCCAGTTATACACCTGTCTGGTGTGCAGACACCAGCACAGCACCGGTCTCACGGGGCTCTCTTCAAGCAGTGCTGAGAGTGCCTCAGGAAGTGGGCTCTCAAGCAGGCGATTCCCCAAATTCATGAAGATTATTCTTGCAGAGAAGGTATAGAAAAAATGGAAATTATCTTCCTAACTCAGCTCAGAGGGAGCACCACCGACTATTTCTCTGCAGCAGCACTGATGTTTGAACTGCCAGCACAGCCTCTAAAAACCAATATTTGGGACCCCTGCAGTTCTGTAGTTAATTTTGGGTACACACATACCATTGCCAGCAGAGCCTAGTTGGAAAGGTGAATGTCACCCACAATACCCAAAACACCTTGTTTACATTTCTTTACTCATTAACAGGGTAAAACCTAACGGCAAATGCAACTTTATCTTCCTTTGTGTTACAGCCAGACAGTTCAGAGGCAGTCATGAGCTCAGCAGTGTTTGTAGTCCCCAACAAAGTGACTTCAGAGTTCTGGCAGGCGTCTGAGCAAAAACACAGATGGTTTTACAGGGCCTGACACTCCTTCAAACATCCATCTGACAGACACATTTGTCAAAAATCTCTACAGATAGCCCTGAGAGTAATCACATCTCTTACATATGCCCATAGCTGCTCAGAGCAAACACATCTGCTCATTTTGGACTTCAAAGGAGGAAAAGAAGATGCTTTGTTCAGAGAAATAAATTTATCATGTGTATTAGTAGTGCCTTGAGGTCTAAACAAAATGAAAGGTCCAGTGGATCGGGCCCCTTAAGAGATGCATTTACCATGATCAACCTCTCTTCTGAAGAGTAGAAAGAGGATGGGAAAAAGGATTCTCACACCAGGTTTGATGACAGGAGCACAGGGAGGCTAAACGAGCAAGATGGAATCCATGGGAGCAGCTCTGAGCCCCTGTGCCCAGTGCCCCAGCCCAGCTCCCTAAACCCTCCCTCTCAGCAGCCTCAGTGCTCACGAGGGCACCTGGAGAAGCCCCTGAGCCAGCCAGGAGCAGGGACTGGCTGTGGACAAGCTGAGCCTTAGAAAACCTTTGCACAAGTGCTCTGTCACAGACCTGTTCTCCAAACCTGCTTCTACTCACAGCTTTGGAAAAACCCACCGTTGAGACACTGGAAAGCAGCTGCTTTACTTGTGCGGTGCTGCCAGCAACACCAGGAGCACTGCTGTGGAGCGCCAGCACTCGCTGAGCTTTCAGCCATGGAGATCTCCTTCGGTGCCCCAAAGAAGCAGCAGAGGAGGTAAATGCGAGTGACGAAAATACCCCAAACCTCACCTGTCCCCTTGCCCTGAACATTCCAGTCCCAGTGACCCCCTTCTAGCCCCATCTCCTGTTCACTCCTCCATGGCTCTTCCCATCTCCTCCACTGACCTTCCCCAAAATTCCCCTCAACCTTTCTAGCCCCTGAGCCCAGACCTTTCCCCACTTTTCACTCACTGAAGCTTGAGCTGTATCAAACCAGACATAGATCCCTCCTGTGACAAGTGTAGTCACAACTGAATCTGCACTGGATGGTCACTTGGTTCCATCCCAGCTCCCCACGCCCTGGACCCAGCCACCTCCAGGGCCCGCTGGGGCAGCCCCAGTCTGGTCCGAGGCAGCCTGTGCCGACTCTCCAAATCACACCATTGTGAGCTCTGCTCAGCGGAGGTTACGCCCCATAAGCAAATAAATCTGGGAATTCCCTGGCTGCCCCACAGCCTGGCTTCCTGCTGGGGAACCCCAAACCTTTCCCTGCCTCTCTTCTCCAACATCCCGTTCCCTGTGAAAGCCGTGCCTCATCCTGCCCATCTCTGCACTTGTCCCGAGTTTCCTTATGTTTCCTTGAGACACCATCCCTTCCTGGATGGCAGGAGGGCACAGGAAGGTGTTTCTCAAGAGGAGGATGGGGACCTGGCCCACGGCTGTGTGCGGAGAGCTGGCGGTGCTGGGGCAGTCCTGATCCCGCGGTAGGAGGGATGTCCCTGCCTGTCCCCTTAGAGACCGATGGAGGCTGCCCCTCAGCCTGCTCCCTTCTTTGCTTCTCCACTGGGAAGATGTTCAAAAGCTGGCTGGCAAGACATGAAATCAGACCCAAGGACCAAGCTGCCTCTTCTGGCCTTTTTCTCGCTGTCCTGCCCGAGCCTCAGCTGGACCCTTGCCATCAGTTTGACAAGAGGACCCGGGACTAGCTGTTCAGCCACCAACCTCCATTTTTTCCCAGTACACATGTGCCTTTGACGTCAGCGCTCTAGCTTTCTGCGTGTTCACCCTTTGCAGAACCCCTTAAGTCACCCCAGACCCCACCAAGCTGGAGACCTGTGTTTGGGGACCACTGCACACAAACACAGCCACTCCTGCCTCCTTCCCCCAAAACCCCTTCTTGGCATGGGCCCAGCCCCCAGGTTCTCAGAGCTGCTCCCTTCACAAAATCAAAGGTCAGATCCATCCGCTTCCCAGGCTGGAGCTGCTCCAACAGGCAGAGCAAAGGGTTTGGAGCCGCCTAGTTTGACTCTGCTGAGCCCTGAAAGAGGCCACAGGCAACCACCTGGCGAAGGGCCCTTCTGGTACGCTGCAGGACCGCACCAAAGGGCAGCTGGACTTTGCCCTGGCATGTAGGCACAGCAGCCCAGATCAGTGATGAGCAGGGCTAGGCAAGGGATTTTTGGAAATAAGCAAAGCTTGGTCCAGGTGCTGTCTCGATCAAGATCTTCCAGAGGTAGCACTCATGCATGTCTGCCAGGAGCCCACAGGACAGCCACTCCCAGCATCTTGTCCAATGAGCAAGAGGGGGCAGCAAACTTGCTCTTCCACCATCTGATGTCTACAAAGAACCTGGGGAATTTCAGGACAAGAACTACCAAAGACCCTTGCATCCAGGCTCTCCTGGGGAAAAGTCCTACCTCTGGGTTTGTTTCACTCAGTTTTGGGACAATCTAAAATCCAGAGGCTGCTGGCCTGCGCTCACTCCCTGACAGATGGTTTATTGGGGACATTTTGATACTCAAGAAAGGCAGTCCATGCAAAGCAGAAACTCAAGTGATTGTTGATAGAAGTTTCCTGGGGTAGATTGTTCAGCCAATGCAGCAAAGAGATCTGAGCTTTGCAGCAACAGCAGCACGATGCTGAGGGAGCAGCGCCCCTTCTGGCAGCAGCTACACAGTGAATCATGTCTGTGCAGGACCGGGCAGACAAGGCACCAGGGAGGAAGGGTTTCTACAAAGGGACATTGAGGTGAACAGTGCTAAAACCAACCTGCCAGACTCTGCTGCCCAAGGGAATTCATGTTTGAATTGCTGTTCAAGATAAAGCCTTAATTTACCGAATAATGTACTCGGAATACAAGACTACTCCACCTCCTTTAGAGGGAAGAGGATTAGTTCTGAAACAGCCGCCCACTGCAGGAGACAAGTGAAGGCCGCGATCAGAGGGCTCCCAGCTGAGCCCAGGCAGCGGGGCCAGGCCGGGAGCAGGGAGCTCTCACTTGTGGGGACAGAGGGACCTGCACTGGTGTGAGGCTGGGGGAACGCCACAGACACAACTCACCTGCCTCACCAACTAGGGACGCTTTCCAAGTGATGAACAACTACACGGAACCAGCAGTACCACACGCCCAGGGTATCCACAGGTCATTTTGGGACTGTGACATCAGCAGCAACCGTGCCAATCGGCAGCTGCTTGAAACTCCCTTAAAACTACACAGTATTTTGAGGGATGTACTAAGAAACTGAGACTTGCACTTTAAAAATCTTTAAATGCATTTTTCACCACTTCCTTGTTAAGAAACCTTAAGGAACTCATGAAAGTGATGCACTGTTCTGATGTAAGGATCCTCCCCACCCCACATTACATGCTGCAATAAGGCTGGCCAGGAAACCAGCAAGTATGAACACTCGTGCACTACGGAGTCGTGTGATGAAAATTTGTCTAAATAAATACATTCCATAGAGCAGATGCTACAGGCATGCGCACTGCCCAGGTACGCATCTTCTCACTCTGTGATTCTACCAGAACTGCTATTTCTAGATGCAAGCCAGGACTGCTAGCGGCTCAGATTTAATGTCCCACTACACAGTTTTGTCTCAACAGCTCTCATCACCAACTACAAGAGAAACGGGAACAAGAAGCTTCTCTCTAGTAGGCAGGCAAGAAATTATTTCTCATATTCTATATAAAGCTTGTGGGCACAGTTTAGGAGGTTGCAGACATTTTTTGTCTAGCCCTGAGAACCATCCAGATTCCGTTACAAGAGGCACAAACAGGCTGCAGTAAAGGCTGCCACACAAACGCCTTGCCAAGCACGGGTCAAATCTCCATTTCACCATCTAGCCTAGAGTCACTACTCCATCCCCGCGCTGCAAATTCTGATCTGCTGCTGAAAAAGAATGAAGACCCTCAATATAGGTGGAGGGGATAAAAATAGAAATGTACAAAAATGAAACATTTTCCTTTTATTTCCAATAAAAATTTAGATCCTAGATGGATACAGCATCTGTAAAAGACAAGAATAGAATACTGTTAGAAATCCCGTTACTGTACTATTTTGAACACAAATTTTGCAGTTACAATCTAGATCAATGTCTTCAGCTACTATACCACAGCACAAGAAGCCAGCTACAAACCTCTCCTAGCACCAGAAGGAGCACGTATCAAAGAGCCATGTTGAATGCGGAACAGGAACAGAACAAAACCATAGTCCAAATTTTCCCTCATACTACGTGGGATGCACCCTGAAAACTGACAATAAATATGATAAAAGAAATCCACTCACCACCCGGATTCTGTGTCCAATGGCCTTGGCAGGAAGGTTGGAGCGGAACTTGGCACGAACCATGCCGCTGTTCCCATGGGCGCGCGTCACCTTCCCCCAGATCACTCGTGTCCTGTTGGGCTTGCCACCAGGGGTTACAGTGTTGCTGAGGAAAGAGAGGAAAAGAACCCCTGAGAATGCCAGTCGCAGCTCCATACGGACCATGACGGGACTGACAACGCAGCCTCTTTAAGGCACTTCCGTAACTTCATTCCACAGCCATCTTCAATTGGACCACCTTCCACTTTTATCTACCTGTGAAAATTGCTAGGCCTGGGATTCTCACTATACCTTCCAAACCAGTAAGTAAATTGCAAATTATCAGAAGCCCCCCTGAAGAGCTATTAACAAGTCATAAAGTTTAACAATTTGGCAAACACTGATGCTAAGATGATCAAAAACTCAACAATTTTAAGCCCAAAGAAAATGCAACATCTTATTTGTAAGATTTCTCCAGACACACCAAAGGCAGAAGCCTAAGCCGCTGGAACAGACTCCAAAAAACTGCTTTAGAAGAAAAGCCAAGTGCCGTCTTGGAAATTATGGTGGTCAAGCTAACCCCCTGATCACTTTTATTCAAGGAAATTTGAACTCTGGTACCTGAACTCTTAACAACTACACTCAAAAATTATGTGGAAGGTAATAAGTAGCTGTTCGTAATCCTTCCACCAATGCCAGCTCAGCAGAAGTGACAGTGCTCTGACACGGGCTCGCAAAAGCCAGGATACAGCTGCCTCCAGGCTTCACAAAATACTTTTGTTGTTAAAGTAACTCCATAGCTCATAGTACTTGACAGAAATTCACCTCACTTCCATTTACTCTATCAATCTGCCTTCAGTTTTTGCCAGTCTCTGGCTAAATTTGTTTCTCTAACATATCATTTATAACAGCGAATGATTATTTCACCTACCTTCATGATCTGAACTAAGAACACTTAGGCCAGTTAAAATAAAAATAACTAAGGACTTTAAAAATGAAACCAACCCAGAAAATTGGTCTACGCTCACATCCTGGCATTTGCAAAAGCTGATAGAGGAGTTGGCTAAGTTAGCATAACAAAGAAAGGTTACTTACTTTTTAGCTTTGTATACATAGGCACACCTCTTGCCCAAGTAGAAGTCTGTCTCCTGACGGGCATAAACACCTTCAATTTTCAGAAGAGCAGTGTGCTCCCGCTGGTTTCGGAGGCCACGTTTGTAGCCAGCAAAAATGGCCTTGCACCAGAGCCTAAAGGCATTGAAAACATTTACAAACTGTAATTCACTCCAAAGAATCAAATGTAAATAAAAAAAACCAAAGTGCTTCAACATCAGGTGTCATGTCTTCAAATGTCTACAAACCCTCTGTGATGACTAAACATTACTTTTTCCTATACACTACATAACTTGAAAGACATAAACAGGAGAGTGCTGCAGGAACTGCTGCAGGAGAAGATATTAACCGCTGTGAATTTGTAGTCTCAAAGGAATTAACTGCAGTCTACGGGGACAGCCAGAGAAACAGCCCCACATGCACTGGACAAATGACACTACACAAGCTCCTCAATTATTCACAACAAAAACCTGCCTGTACTACGCAGCTATAGCAATTATAAGGCTCATTCCACACACCACGTATGACTGTCTCAACTGCATCCAGCAGCTGTCCCATAACACAGAAGTATTAAGCTAAGCTATCCAGTTCTACCTCCCACACACGCACAACAGAAGATAAACCCCACAGATCAATATTAAGACAAAAAGCAGTGATTCAGATTCAATCCCTCCACCCTTTACCACCCCAATCCCTGTATCAGTAAGAAAACTCGATGGCATGGTAGCTCACGCAGCCAGCATGTCAAAGCCTCTCCCGTACACCGACGCTTCACAGATCCTGCGCTAACACAAACATCACCAGCGCCGCGCATCTGCTGACAGCGCCGGGAAAGCTGGCACACCAGACCAACAGCTGCCACCAGCTTAAGGCAGAGGCTTCAGAAGAGAGACACAACTGTGGGCGTCTAACAGAGGGCCCAGCAGGGTACCGGGCAGAGGAGCTGTCCAGGAAAATGAGAGCAGGCCCAGGAAAACGGACCATCGCCCATAGCTTTAACACTTCCAGCAACGCTCCCTTTGCAAGAAGACCTGTCAGAAGGAACAGCGAGCCGAGAGCCACTTCACTCACCTCCCGGTCATGGTGTCCTCCTGCAGCCCCGGTCCCAGCGGCCTAG